TTGCGAGACATGAACGCGTTCTGCACTTCGTCACCTCACGGACAAAGCTGTTGGGACAGAAAATGTCCGGAATGCGACGCCTTGACGGGTTTTTGTTGCCTGCATTGGAGATGAGGAAGTGACAACTGCATGATCCTACCAATGCCTATACGGTGGCCAGGCGGCAGCAGCTGAAGACGGACAGGTATAGGCATTGTTGTAATCCCTAATAAACATAGGCGGATCCTGGCGGAGGGGGCCACGGGATCATGGCGCCCAAAAAACTCTGGGAGTATGTTTTGGCCCCCAAAAAACGTTCCCAGAACTTCATAAAAGTTTCATCTACTTGCCGTCTGTTTGAACTTTGATGGTGCGGTATCAAATATTTCTTTCCGTTTCGGAAAAAAAACTTCATGAAGAAAAGTTGGCAGTGATTTGAATATCAAAACAAAATGCACGTTGACGCGGCTTAGCCATACTCGGCGCAAACATCGCATTTTATAAGTGCACTGGACCTTGGATCCCACACAGGCCAGCTGGCGACGAACGGTTGCCCCCCCCCCCCCCCCCCCTAAAAAACTCCAGGCTAGATCCGCCCCGCTAAAAAATTCCGATGAACCGGACCAGTTGGCAACAAACGATCAGGCATGACCAGGATTGGGATTAGAAATTCCAGACTTCCGATTAAAACGGTACTGAGCAGCAATACACTAAACCCAAGATCACATATAACCTCACATATCCGCCCCAAAACCTGCTCATCAGGCTGCAGCGTCTGAGCGTCGTGCGAGTATAAAGAGATAGCTGCATGACCCACACCGGCACACACATTATATATATGACGTGCTTTTGATACCTGTATTAGTGATGGGGTAATGACAGCTGCGTGATCCTACCAATGTCTATATGATGTCCAAGCGGCGCCAGCCAAAGGCGGACAAATATAGGCACTGCGTACTCCCTAACATATTCCGATAAACCGAACCAGTTGGTAACAGACGGTATATATATATATATATATATATATATATATATATATATATATATATATATATATATATATGTATGTATGTATGTATACATCAATGGTGGGGCGGCGGTGGCTGGCGGTCACGGCTCCGGACCACCCCCCCCCCCCCCTCGCCCCGTGTCTGCTCATGCCGAGGTGTGGAGCGGTGAGCCGCCGGGCGACTCGGGGGCACTGACATCGCCAGGTAGGTCTGTGGGTCACCGCGGCGCCCGGTTTTGGAGCCCTGCTGCGGTCACGTGCCCGGAAACAGCGCTGCAGAGCGGCCCCGGTGGCCGCCGCCGCCGACGCGGCTGCATCGGGCGCCGCGTCCGACTTTGATGGACTGCCGATACGCGCGCTGCAAGTGCAGAGGCGCTGGCGATTTGTATTTGACGTCGCTGACAGGTACATGTTTCCAGCGCGATGTGCGCTTCAGGCACGCCTGCCCTGGTGCCCTGGACAGCGGCAGCGCTGCTGCAGGCATGCCTGCCCTGGTGCCCTGTACAGCGGCAGCCCTGCTGCAGGCACGCCTGTCCTGGCGCCCTGGACAGCGGCAGCCCTGCTGCAGGCATGCAGCGCTCGGCACATTTCTCTGCCGCCTTTACCCAGGGCGGGCTTATACGTCATCCGATCGTCTGCGCGGCCGAACGGAGCCCGCTGATCGAACTCACGCCTATGAAATATATATATATATATATATATATATATATATATATATATATATATATATATATATGTGTGTGTGTGTGTGTGTGTGTGTGTGTGTGTGTGTGTGTGTCGAATGGTTTGCATTAGTGGTTTTCGGTGCAGAATGCATGCTAAGCATAGCTTGTTGCGTATGCCCTGAGGTCTGAAGCCGCCACCCAAGCTGTGCCCTCCAGTTCAACGGATAGTTTCGCCTCCGCCCTTTCGCCAGACACAAGTACGGAGGGTTCGCGTGCCGCACAATGCTGCGGCACAGCCGTTCCAGACCTGGGTTAACCCTCGTTGGTCAGTTGCCAGCTGTCGCTTCGATTTCAGTCGGGCCAAGGGCCAAGCAATGGGCCAAGCAATGCGCCGGTTATGAGACTGGTACCCAGTGCCACTGGATTACAAGTCCAGCACATTCCTCATGACGACGGAGACTTTTACATGTGCAACCAGTCGATCCGACCGTTAGAGTCTGCTGCTCCCCTGGCGAGTGGACTTCCTCTCAGGATTTCAGGCGTCAGGCGGGAGTAGGAGTGCAGATGAGCGGTGGAGCTGGAGCACTCTCGTGTCTGGTAGGCAATGCAACTCGAATTCCGAAGCCAAAACAAAACGAGCAGATTTCGGCGCGACCAACACTTCAAAATGCGTTGTTTGTACAGGTATAATGCTTTGTTCATATTGCAAAGTGATCATAGCATTCCTCAGAACGGACCCATGGCTTTAAACTGCGTGGCGATTTTCTTGCCGAGTCCATAATGTTTGTTTACGATTGCGACCATCCGCCAGTGGCAGAAGAGTGACACTGCGGGCACTGCTACGCAAGCCACCCCAATAGTCGGATGTGCGACATGCAATAGTCGGAGATGCGCATGCAATAGTCGGACGTGCGGCATGCAATAATCAGGCATGCGACATGTAATAGTCGGACGTGCGACCAGTCGGACGTGCGACATGCCATAGTCGGACGTGCGACGTGCAATAGACGGACGTGCGACATGCGATAGTCGGCCGTGCGACATGCAATAGCAGGTTGAGCATACATTCAGCAAGTAATAACGTATAGCCCAGCCCATCGTGTGGTAGGCGCGCGCGCCTAAAGATACGACTGGGAAACGGGCACACTGCAACGCCCCCAGTATCGGGCCATCTGGGGGAAAGACAGCAATGCCGGAGCAGTGAGCGTCTTGAAGCGGAGTTACGGCGCTTCCAAAAAATAATCTCGAAACGGGTGAATGAAGATTGCACTCGCACGCTGAATACATCTATATGGCCACTCAAATAAGACGTCATGTTTTGAAGAGATTGCACGGCAAAGTGGTCGAGCACGCGAGTATTTACATGAGTGCGAAGAAAATAATCTCACGCAGATGTATTCCGTGAGCGCTTCAGTCCTTCTCTGTTTCTAGCAGCTTACCATAAGTCCGGAATTTATTCAACTATTGCTGTGCTATTCCCTCTCCTTGCTTTGCTTCAGATTGCCTGCTTTGCGAAAGGTGAGCAGATCTGTTCATATGTGTATGTACTTAAAAGGCATGGGAGCATTGTGTTGCATATGCAAGATACCTTCAGGCCTGAAGGATCTCCGCCGAGCTGCTGCAAGCCTAAGCTTGCTGTGGCTTGGGCATCACAATACATTTGTGGCAATGCTATGACCGCAGAGTAAGAATAAAACCCTACTGAGTAGGAAACTGCATCTCTAGCATCGGCGTTCGGGAGGCTTATCGTTGGCATCGCTTTTCCCAAACTGACACTTGATCAGTAATAGGATAAGTTAATGTCAAACAGGGAGAAATCGTGCTACAATGTTTTATGGGTGCGCTGTTGTTCACGGGTTTACAATGTGCACGGTCACCAACATAAAATATGGACAATGGCGTATGCTGTGCGAACCTAGCAACAAGTCTTAATTTTGAGTCGGTGCCTTAAGTACGCTGACGATGTGAAAATTTATCACAGAATCGACAACTCAGCGCATTGGCTCATACTTTGGGCCAATTTGGATCGTCTCTGTGGATGGTCCAGAGACTGGGGACTGAACTTGAACCCAGCTAAGTGCAATACCATCTCATTCATCCTCCGCACGTCACCTGTGCACTATTCATAAGGACTAAGCGGTCACTGCTCGGATAGCTGCCAGCAGAATTGCGAACCTTGACGTCTTGCTGGACACCAAACTCTCTTCGCCAATGACGTAGATTCGACTGTCTCAAAAGCAAACACGATGCTGAGCCTTCTCATGCCAAGCGTGCAAATGCCGTCGTGTCCTAGTCAAGCGCGGTTCAGTCATAAGGCTTCGCTGCGTGCCCTCAGCACTCACGTGAGGTCATTGATAGGGAACGGTAGCGTTATTTGGAGCGGTGCTCCCGTTTCCCATCTCGCCCGGTTCGAAAGACTACAACACCAGTTGGTCATGTGTTTGGGTGCGAGTACCCAGCCCCAGTGTCCTCCACTGGATTATGAGCTCCCTCTCGTTAATTCCAAACGGCATCCATCAAAGTATGCTTTATTCAGTCTGACATCTAATTTATATTCAGCGTGTATCATCACAGGCTTGACTGTGCTTACCTGACATCGCTGTTCGGTCTGGCTACATCCGCATTTTCCACGAGCCATTTGCAGGGGTCATCACGGTTTGAAATGGATTTACCACACATCTAACCGTTGCCTGCAATCGTTTTCTACAGTAATCTCCTTCAACTGACTTATCAAGCCAACAAGATCATTTCAATATGATTTGCTGAGGTTCGCCGGCACTCGTGGAGCGTTCTTTGATGACCGTTGTGTCTGAGCGTGTAAGGTATGTGTGTGACCGTATGTAATGTGTATGTATGTATGTGTCCATGTGTGTGTGGTTAGGTTTTTTGCCTGTGGGTGTATCGTGTATTCATTGTTTTCAAACTGGACTGCTTCCGCAATTGGACTTCTGCCTATGAACTGTTTATGCCCCAAAAAAACAAATAAACAATAATGACTTGCGAGACTGTTTCTGTTGTACGCTACCCAAAAGCACACACATTCAATCGATGTGAGGTGGCATATGCCTACGCATTCATACACTAGCCATTGACTTAACTGTCAACGATAAAACAAGCGAAATAAATAACAACGGCCAATGGTCCAACCCAACCTACAAGCACCACATATGCCTACTCCTCGTAACAGACAAGAGCACCTAGAACACTGCGTAACAGAACACCCTAACGCGGCCGGCAGACGACTGAGGGGGGTCGGCGGAGCGCAGCGGCCGGCGGCGACGTCCGCGCCAGGGCCGGCTCGCGGTGGAGCCACGTCCCCTGTGACGCCGGGTCTCGTGACGAGCGGCTCACGTCTGAGCGCCGCCCTCTGCCGCAGAGACGCGTGAGGGGGTGAGGGGACGGTGAGAGGGGCAGCATCAAGGGTTGCAACATCGACAGGTAGTGGGTGGCCCATGAGAAGACATTTTGAGGGATTATTTCTTACCGATAAGGTCGGCGGCAGAGGAGAAACTTTAAAATAAAAAAATTTGCAGAGGCAAATACAGTTTTCGGGTCCATTCTTTCCACACAACGCCATGGTGCTAATATTTAAGTTCTGAGATGCTGGATGCAACTGAATTCCAATTGAAAGTTGTAATATACCCATGTCGGTGGCACGTAATGACGTGCCGTCTCTACGTGGACTCTGTGTCCGACAATTGATGCCTACCGGCTCGTGAGGAAACGCAGAATAAGGAAGCTCATTGCCGTCTGCATGCCTGAGACAGCTTTCCGTTGAAGGGATGTAGCACCAGGTGACCCAGTATTGTCAGAGAGTTGATGACCAAAGAGAAGATGCAATCTGAAGCGAATCAACACTATCCGACTGTGGGCGACCAGTGAGCGGATGCACCATCAAGGGACTCACCACTATCAGACTGTCGGCGACCAGTGAGCGGGTGCATCATCAAGGGACTCACCGCTATCAGACTGTCAGCGACCAGTGAGCGGGTGCATCATCAAGGGACTCACCACTATCAGACTGTCGGCGACCAGTGAGCGGGTGCATCATCAAGGGACTCACCGCTATCAGACTGTCAGCGACCAGTGAGCGGGTGCATCATCAAGGGACTCACCACTATCAGACTGTCAGCGACCAGTGAGCGGGTGCATCATCAAGGGACTCACCACTATCAGACTGTCGGCGACCAGTGAGCGGGCGCATCGTCAAGGGACTCACCACTATCAGACTGTCGGCGACCAGTGAGCGGATGCACCATCAAGGGACTCACCACTATCAGACTGTCGGCGACCAGTGAGCGGATGCATCATCAAGGGACTCACCACTATCAGACTGTCAGCGACCAGTGAGCGGGTGCATCATCAAGGGACTCACCACTATCAGACTGTCAGCGACCAGTGAGCGGGTGCATCATCAAGGGACTCACCACTATCAGACTGTCAGCGACCAGTGAGCGGGTGCATCATCAAGGGACTCACCACTATCAGACTGTCGGCGACCAGTGAGCGGGCGCATCGTCAAGGGACTCACCACTATCAGACTGTCGGCGACCAGTGAGCGGATGCATCATCAAGGGACTCACCACTATCAGACTGTCGGCGACCAGTGAGCGGGTGTATCATCAAGGGACTCACCGCTATCAGACTGTCAGCGACCAGTGAGCGGATGCATCATCAAGGGACTCACCGCTATCAGACTGTCAGCGACCAGTGAGCGGGTGCATCGTCAAGGGACTCACCGCTATCAGACTGTCAGCGACCAGTGAGCGGGTGCATCGTCAAGGGACTCACCGCTATCAGACTGTCAGCGACCAGTGAGCGGGTGCATCGTCAAGGGACTCACCGCTATCAGACTGTCAGCGACCAGTGAGCGGGTGCATCGTCAAGGGACTCACCACTATCAACTGGTGGGCGATCGGTGAGACTGTTTAGTATCCAGCTGACGGAGCACGGCGAGGCCCACTGCTGGCAGACCGGGCTGGCAGCACCGGTACCCCCCTCGAGCTCAGGGCTGGTCCTGTCGGCCGACTGCTCACCTCCCCTGGGAAAGGGCAGTGGCGGGGCATCGGACGCCTGGCACCAATCCCTACGGCCTCGGGCCCTGTGTGGGGCCTGTTGACCGCGAGTCTAAACTAGCTGCAACCGCTGACTGCTGAGATCGCTGGGGCAACACAACAGCCAGGTGTTTTGCGTGATTTACTTTTCCCATGTTGTTAAACGCTGTTGCATGCTTCGCAATTGTGCAGTTGATCGGTGCAGCTGCAGTTTGTGATCTACCTCCCCTGGATGTTTTCTCAGCAAAAGTAGAACCGAATACTGCTACGTCATCAAACACTGACTTATTGCGCCTGAATGTGTCCGTAATCTACCACTACATGTTTCATTTGCCTTCATACAGAAGGCGATGTCACACGCATACAAATGCCCTCTGTAATGATATCATGTAATGTAATGGTCTATAAGGGCGTCCAGAAATGGGGTCACCTTGCAAGACAGCAGCCATGAGATCCTGTCACAGATGAGTTGTGCAATCCACAGCCTTAATAATGCACCCGCAATGCATTGGAACTGATGTGTTCCTAAACGTTTGCAAGACGCGGCACATTATTTTTTAGCAGATTGCGATTTACGCATGCCTACAGAATGCCGGCTTAACAAGCACGTCATGATTGAGGTGCATATGTGTATTTCTTTCATCAGCCGTTACGTATCACATAAAGACGGCATTGGACCGGACAAATGCCGGCCTTATAATAAATAAAAAAATTATCATAACAGACTTCGTCAGCTTTCCGCTTTGGTAAATGGTCACTGAGCTCGTCGCCGTGCCTCACCGGAATATCCTGCGCAGCACTGCCTCTTCAATGGCGTGAAAGCGGCTGGGGTCGTCGCGGTACTCGACGCTCAGCTCGCACACGAGACGCATCACGCACAAGTCCATCTCGGTCCTCTGTGGGCAGGTAAGCATGGCTGTGGGTGCTGTGGTTTACGGCACAGTCAAAATCACGAGTGCGAGATGAGGCGAGTAACCATTGCGTTGCTATTCATAGATCTCCGCCGCTTAAAAAAAAAAAAACACACACTGCACTGCGACTTTGCGGCCAATGATTGCACTATCAGACGTGTCTTCATACAAACTAATACATTGAAAGAAAACATGTGTTATTGCATCAGCCATGTCTGCGCAGCAATTATCCCTGCAGTTCTAGAAGTTAAAAGGGTACAGTTGCCGGTGGTAAAGGCCAACAGCAACAATGCCAGGCTGTCCTCAGTCTGGATGAGTTACATCCTCTTAAGGCATCACTGGGGCTACGTTTCAAATCCACACATCGGGGTGATAAGTTATCAGTTCATGACAAAATGATTGATCAGGATTGCCCAGAAAGCTGGTCTTTGCCAGAAATTTATTCAAGACGTATACCAGTACGCGCCACTCTTCAGAATAGTTCGATCATGTGTACTTAAGGTTCCGTGAGTGAGAAGCTGCACACTCAAGTAGCTTCCTCATGCAAAATCATCTTTACGACCCAACAGTATATCTAAGGTAATTGCCCGTGTGAATCATTGTGATGAATCAAGAGTTTTTAAGCAGGAGCGTTGGATCTTTCTTAAAAGTGGCACTAATTGGCCCTTCTCAAAGATATTCCCATTCATCCTTAGCGACATGGTATATTTTAAATTTTTACATAAATCTAAGAACCGAGTTATCCTTGCTCTTTCCCTCCCCCGCCCGGTTGCCGTGCCAATAGTTTTTTCAGTGAAGCTTTTTATTAGGAAACCTTTGCGAGCAAAATCATCGACCACAATCTACGGCTTGATAATGCTAGCAGAAATTATCATGCACGACATTGTGTATCGTCTTTTTATTGCAATAATCTCAATGAAATTGCATTAACAAATAAAGCGACACGAATATTTCCGGCGATCCTTTGACCAGCGATGGATCTGAATCCGTCCGGCCTCCGACTTCCACGCATAAACTCAGTGACTCGGAACAAGTTGAATCATCCTACCGATGAACATCACTTTCTAAATAAAGCATTCATTCGCTTTGCATGAATCCATTTAATGAATCAGTCGGACTCGTATTCGAACTTTCCAATTCGGAAAAATATGAAATCTGACCGAGACTCATGACACTATCAGTCTGGCTTCGGATTAAGAAAACCTTATGTTCAGACTAAGGTCTGATTTTCATTTAAACTTCAACCTCAATGTCTGGAGGGTGCATCTAAATATAAAGAGCAAGAGCTGCGAAAGAGGCGCGTGACTTAGAGCGTGGAGCCTGATGTTTTGCTATATCTTGGGCTAAATTGCGTTAAATGGATCAGGTCCGTTAAGACCGCGTCGGCTTTGTTCAATGCTAGCAAGGCTGTGACGAGTGCTAACCCGATCTTTTACACGGGAAAGATTGTGCCAATACAGTTACCTTTATCATTTGTGCCTGCACGAATGACAAGTAGGGGGTTCAGTCTAAAAGTCACCCAAGGGGCCTTGTCAAAGTACTTTGTGCCGGTACACGAGAATAATTTAACAAAACGAAGTGCATGACGCCCCTCGTTTTGTGTAACCTTGCCCTGTCCCTGTGGAGTTTTGTTAGACGAAGCAATGGCGCAGTACCGGACAAGTCATCGTAACGGACACTGGAAGACTTACCAAAATCTCGCAGTGAGGTAATGGTCCCTCTTCCATGTTGCCTGGCACCGCAGTTATCCATAACTATCAACGTTTCTAAACTCTATCCCTGTCTAGGGAGCGGGCGATTCGGACCCCTGGTTGTTTTGCGCGGCACTCGCGTGGTAATTGAGCTTACGTCTTTTAGCCTAGTGGCCTTTCCCAACTTTTTGTTTTGCATCCACGGGGAAATTTTTGCTTTTATACATGAATCGTAGGCAGACTCAGGACTTTTTTGGTGTGCACTGGGGTGGAGTGCGTCTATGAAATTACAGCTGGGGGGCGCAATATTTCAATTAAGCATGAAAGCCGTTTTGTCTCAACAGCAGGGACACCCGAGTGCATAATTATGGTTATCTCATTGCAAAGGGTGGATTCAGTGATACGCCTGGGGGTATCCCTCCAAACTCAGTGCTTGGATGCACCTCCGAAACATAGACAGGTGCATGGTAATTTGTGTGTCATTACTCAGGCTACGTGTTTAATGACTTTAGATGCCAACTTTGCGGTATCTTTGGTGTTCAATTCAATGAAATTCAATAAATAATAAATAAATAAAATTTATATAAGTTATAAATATATGCATATACATATATACATATATAAATATATATATAATATAAATTTATAAACATAATAAATAAATAAATAAAATAAATACATGAAATTCAAAAAATTCAAAAAATTCAGTAGCTGTTTGCATCAATACTTTCTTGACAATATGATATTCCCGGCATCGTCACCCTGCACAGTTTTGCATGATTTTTACACCTAGCTGTGCCTAGCGGTCATTTGAAATGATGAGTATGAGCTTAAACCCATCAGCTTCGGAATATACATTGCAATGCATACCACATTGACTTTGCTTGCTACTGCCTTCCTTAAAAAATTAGCTTCATTTTGCCGGGCAGGACAGGGGTTAGAAGTCATCATCGACCCAGTGCATGATGCCAGCGACTACAAAACAAAAAACTGGCACAGCCATATTTCAAAACAGCTAAGCTCAAAAACCAATGCTCGCTGCAGCTTTCCCAGCCTAATGGCCTGCCGTAGCTCTTGCACGAGTAATTTTAGATGTTATTTGCATGTATTTCATAAACGGAAGCTGTCAAAATCTCTACTATCGGGGCCCATTTGGACAGTAAGCACTGAAACTCCTCCTACTGTTTCTTCAAACGTTTTATTCAAGCCTTTTGAATGGATCAATTTGTGGAATCAGAATATGGGTAAAATGCTTCCGATTCACAGAATATGATCGGTGACAAAAATGGAAGGTTTTGCGAGATATTTGGTGACAAAGATGCGAAAATGGCAACAAATTACAGCGACCATCCCAGTTAGAGGACACTCAAAAATTCGTATTGGTGTACTCGCCGACACTTGCAGCGTAAGTATATGTGTAGTAAACAAGGAAACATCGATGTTGCGGTGTATGAGCAAGTTGAGCCACAAAATACTGTCAAATACTGAGCAGCTTTAAGCAGGATCATTTTTAGGAGGTGACAGAAATATACTACAAACTAGATTAGATCAGGGCGGACGCCACAGATCAGTGGTGACACACTGCTCTTCCAATGACCCTCAGATCAATGCTTTTCACAGATCTTTCAGTCGAGATTTTCTTCACATACTAAGCTGTATAAAATACCTAAACAACTGGGCTTATTTCTAGTCGTAAGCGTCATGGCTGGCCTCAGCACCTTGCGACGAACGTGATTACTCTGCTGCGAAGCACGCATCACTGTACCTATTTTGTGCCAAATAGTATGTAGGTGTCTTTACGCACCTCACGTTCCAGCCATTGGTTGGTATTAAGGACTGCGTCGGCTACTTAAGCCATTTTGCCATGTTTTTGCGACGCCAACTCCAGGATATATTTGACCAGTCTGCGAATGCTGGACAGTTTTTCGCCAGATAACACAGGTGGATCGAGGCAGCAATGTACGCCGGTTTTTTAAAACATTGGGTGGCGCAGGTAAAAGTTAACCAATGCTTTCCTCGAGAGTGAAAAGCTCGCACAATCGCGGATGTGGTAGCATCCGACTGCTGTCGAGACAAAAGCTGTCTTGCCCGGCACCAACAGACATGAGTGGGTGCCAGCGACGCTGAGCGCGAGCCCCGAGGGCACTCTCAGCCCGAGCCACCAGAGGGGGCGGGTGGCCGGCATGGCAGAGGCGATGCCAGGCGTTGCACTGACACTGTAAGGGGGCAACAGCTGCTACTTCAATGAAAACATGTACAGCAATAGTGCGCGTCGTCAGAGATTCCACATACGTCATATCGTGACAACAAAAGATGCCCCACTTGACTCCCTAGCGGTCGAAAGCACGCGTCAGCTGAACCCGCTGCAGGTGGTCGATTGTCAAGTTACTCTTGTCGGCGGTGACGTGTCCCACCTCAAGTCTAAAGGCGGCCAGGAGCTTTTGACGATAAGCTTGCTTGTCCACGTGGCTTTGTGATCAGGGGCGACAGGTCAGGCGAGTGGAAAGCCGCATAACGGCAGTCTTAAGCTGATGTGCATGCCAAGGGATAGGTCATCATCTAATCCAGGAAACACGATCGAGCGACGCGGCACGCATGGCATGCGCGGTATCGTGCCAACCTGCTGGAGCCGCTGCCGTCCCTACCGGTCCCGTGAAATCGCCTCAGGGTCGCTCAGGACATCAGAGCGGCAGTGATGTGGCGCTCTGAGATGGTGTTGACAGGATCCTCGTTTTCGTCCTCAAAAAACGTTTTTTCTTTGCAATGTGACGAATGCGAGATCATTGATGACTGTTATTGCTGCTAACCCTACTTTTGTCATTGCACGGCCTTTAAAATGCCACTGCAGTCTTGATCGTGTGAAAAATACGCATCCCACTGCTGAGTAAAACATGGGCTATCCTTTATCTGGGAACCTTCATCATGCACAATGTAGGACTGAAAACCTTCTCCCCATATCATTAAAGGAATTCCGCGCCGGGACCGGTCTGCATTCGGACACGCCTCCTCGCCGACAACACTGAATAACCGGAAGCTTCACGCAGCCGTTTTTCACATTTCTACGTTTTTTTGCGACCTTGATATTGCCCACACTGACCAGACACTACCATCCGATCGTCTAATTCCGGGTCTATAGACTTTGCATCAAAAGCCGCCAAGTGCTCGCAATGTACCGCAATGTTCGGCACGGTCTACCCTGCTCTCGCAGGTCACCTGGCACACACGGCTTTACAAACCGAGGTCTTGTTGCAGTATTTAGGCAGAAAGCAGTTCGAACGCTTTAAATATCAGCTGCCAAAAATAATGTAACAAAAGCCACCAACCTCGGTTTTCCGCTGCAGAAAAGTCACAGAGTGTAGGACATTCTCCCGGATATTCCTTGTCTGGGCCCTGCTCCCGTCCACCGTCAGCGGCCATTGCCATGGACCGGTTATCACCCATGTGACTGCGAAATGATCGTGTGGCTGCTCCCCTGCTTGTTTATAAATCAGCGTCACCGCTGATTGGTGTGTGAAGCAGATGGATGCCTGTTACGGTATATATTTCCGAATCACCTTTCCTTACACCACAATACGGCAGCCAATACACTTTCGACAAAATTGCCTGCTTCTGACATGAATTGGTCCACCAGGCATTCATGTGTCCCTCTTTCAACGCAGCAACGCAAATTGCAACGCAATTAATCAGCTCTTGCATGTATGTAAGACATTTTTCTTAAACAAGCTGCGTACCGTGGGTGTGATTTCTTAAAATGAATGGGTGGGGTCAAAGTTGTAAACGTTGCCAACAGGTGAAAAGCACGCAAATCTTCTTGTATTTCATCCCCTTATGCTCTGCTTATCCAATATATATATATATATATATATATATATATATAGAGTTATGTATATATTATTTATATATCTATATATATTTCACTAAAATTGTGTGAACAAATACACATGCAAATTACACATTGGCAGAAATGTAAACTTTGGGTTTTATGGAAAAAAGAAAGTTTATTTACGACACTGCAATTAGAGACGTAGGCCACAGCTGTGATATAAGACGACAAATCAATTCTGAACTTAAGGTAACGTGGGTTGTAACATAAAAGGAGAGTACAGCTGATAGCAAAGCGGTGGAAAGTGATTTTTATGGATGGATTAAACCCTGCAAGAGCTCTCTCCAACACGGGTATTACCCCAGTATGTCGTGAGATAGCGCATGAGGTTTGTCACGTGTCCTTTATGGCTGTGGTGCGGCCGATGACCAAAAGATGTTCTTGTCCTTCTCCGTACACGCGACATCTAAGCTTTGCACTGAATCAATGCGCCCATCAGCCTTCAGCCCGCTGTGCCAGTAAATCCTGCACTATGGCCTACGCCCCAATCACCGGGGTTTTTGGCATGACCAGTAATGGTACTTTAGTGCAAACGCACCTTCCGAAATCTGATTATTCATGACGTTTATGACTCGTCACATTTCCTTTACCTTTTGTTTTGTGTTTTTTGTTGCAATTACGTTAGATAGCAAAAATTTCTGGCAGATTTAGCCTAAGGTGGCAATTCGGGCCTTCCCGAAATTTGTCGGAGACAAAAAGACACTTTTCCCCTGTATCAGAGCTCACACTAAGCAGGGCTTGTGTGGGCTATGGCCTTTTCTATCCTTCTGCATCCTTTCGTTTCTGGAGTCGGCTCTGGCAGTTCACATGCATCACAAATAACTAAGACGTAATCAGCCTTGGTGTAATAAACCGCCCTATTTTAGCTCATTTTAGTTAAACTTCTGGCGGGTACAGTCAAGTAAACATCATCGTTCGCCTTAAAAAGCCCATGAGTCGTCCTGACATGTCTCTCAAAATCCTGTCTGGAATCGCCTCTAGATCATGCTGCGGCTCGCATTGTGAACAGCTATGCCAAATTCGTTTTCAAGGAAATTCGTCAGCATTCAGAATGTTAGAAACGATAAGGCTCCAGTCCTTGCTAAGCCAGGCCTACACCGTCTGGTGAATGGTAGTCTAGATAGCCTGTTATTCTGCCTCGTGTAAAGCGTGAACGGTTTGCTTGGTGTTTGTTACCGGGCAACAAGGTTCGGGGAAAGCCAAGGGCGGAGGTACCCTGAGACGGAAGGAAGCAAGCAGCTTCCCACGACCCGTCTGTGGGTCTGCGCTCGCGCAGTGTTGCTGTATTACCTGGAGCGTCACCGCAATTTTTCACATTACACTTGATTCAGTAAAAAAAATCCTGCCGCTACTTTAATTGCTATCATTATCTGGACGTGTAGCAGTCGTGTTTGTTGAGTGGCTCGTCTGCCTCACCTGTCTGGCCGGCTGAAGCTGTCTGTCTCACCCAACTGACCAGCTGGAGGTTGTCAGCCTTACATGTCTGACCAGCTGGAGCTTGTCTACCTTGCCGGTCTGACTGGCTGCAGCTCGCCTGCCCTACCGGTCTGACCGGCTGCAGCTCGCCTGCCTTACCGGCCTGACCGGCTGCATCTCGCCTACCTTATCTGTCTGACCGGCTGGAGCTCGCCTGCCTTACCGGTCTGACCGGCTGGAGCTCGCCTGCCTTACCGGTCTGACTGACTGGAGCTCGCCTGCCTTACCGATCTGACTGGCTGCAGCTCGCCTGCCTTACCGATCTGATATGCTGCATAGCCGAGCGTCGGCGCCTGTAGCTGTAGGCTCCATAGGCTCCCGGAGGCCGGTCCTTAGCGTACGCCGCCTTATTCCCGTCCGAGTTGGCCCCGAACTTGACGGGGAGGTGGCCGAGCATAGCCAGGCCGTAGGCGATGCCCATGATGGCGGTGGCCACTAGCCTTGGGACCTGTCGCAGAGGGTGCCGGCACGGCATCAGCAGGGGTGTAATGCTGGGTGCAGTCTGAGAAGATCCAGCGCCTTAAATTTTGGTGGCCCACGATCCCTGTACAACCGAATGGCACGGCATACAGATATCATCCTCAGCACGAGGAAGTGGGTATCTTTTTAAAACGCTTGCGGAATCACTTAAATTGCTACTTCTCATCTAACGTTGCTGCCAAATAAACCAACACGGAGTGCACCGCTTTAAAGCATTTAAGCATTTCCCTGAGGCAGTACTTTTGACGTTTTTTATAGACACTGTACCCTTTCCTGGTTGGCAGGTAGGCCTGAAATGTAATCCAGGCGAAACCCAGCGAAACGGGCATTCCTCGTTATAATTTTTTGTTGCGTGCATTATTACGTGTGTGAATAAATGTTAACACTGAACAAACTTCTGATGGGAATCTAAAAATAAGTACAATGAAACAGAGTGACGCTTTTTTACGCCATGCAAGACATTTCGGCGTCTGCGTGAAAACGTTGCGCGCTGCACAGAATTTACAGGGAAAAACTTGAGCTGTGTCCCCCTTCCTCCCACCACGAAAATCGGTCTGTGTCTCTGGTGTAGACAGACGACTGACGCGGGAGTACGAGGATTCTACAGGGTTCTCATGATTAAACTGATGCCGCTTGGTATGACTCTATAAATAACTCGACTTAGTTTTCAATCATCAGAACTTGGTGCAGCTCCGCGTCCCCTGAGCTTGCCTGGCTTGGTCATGTCCCTCCAACCTTGCCCGACTCATACCAAAGTCCGTGTGCAATGACTCGCTACTCAAGACTAGCGTGGAGAACCAAACGAGATCCTAAGCATTTGGCAACACAACTTTGCCAGTCATCTAATTCATTAAGTGGCAAATCAACTTGACAACATTAGGGCCTACAATAGGCACTGAATCATATATAATTGAGAGCTATTTCTCGGAAAATTCAAAAACGATCCCAGTGGTGCTGAATAGTGCTAATGCGGGGTAATATGGTATGACACATGCTAACGGCGTAATGCCAATTTTCATCAAAACGAAAAAGACGAATCAGCACAATTTTGACATTTCTCCATTGTTGGCTTTGCAATCCAGCAACTCTGTTATATCTGCCTTTTCGGCATTATCTGTGTCTTGACCTACCTTTACTCGAAATGAGCTGCCCGCCGGGCTTTCACAGTCATTCTTTTCCCGCTCGCTCGCTACCCACAGAAAGTCGCGCGACTTGGTCCTGGGCCCTTTTAGAGGCGCAGTTGGGGGTATTTTGGGTCATTAAGTGGCTGTGTGTAAAACATGCTTTTCTTTTCTGATTTGACTCAAAAACGCCTCGTCAGCATTTACGTTTTGACATTTGCCAACATGGCTGTCTCAGCGTCGGGTGTCCCTAATTTTAATACATACATACGTTTGTCAGGGTTTGATAGTCCTCCGGGTCGAGATGAATTTCATAGAAGTTGATGAAGGGATGGAAGATGGTCTGCGGCAGTTGGGACAGGAACCTGCCGGCGACGGTGCTGCAGGAGACGCCACCGAGCAGCAGCAGCCCGTACAGGCACACCAGCCGGAGGGCGGCCATCGCTGTACCGCTCTGAGGGACCGGCAGGAGACGCCTGAAGAGATCGGCCGCGTGCTGTCTCTGGTCACTGTTGCGGAGACCGTAGGCGCCTTCCCAGGAGATCGCTCGCTTGCTGCGTTCAGCCGCCGTCCCGTGAGCTGGAGGAGGCGCTCCAAGAGACCAGTCGGTGGCTGTCGCCAGGCGCTGCACCAGATGACCCGGGACCTCCGCAGAGGATCACTGCCCGACCGCCTCCAGCCGCTGCTCCGAACACAGGTGACTGATCAGGGGAGCGTCGGCGTGCTGCAGAGCACGCCCCGGGAGATCAGCCTCCGGCTACTTCCAGCTGCTGCGCCGTCGGCCGAGAGCAGGCCACTCGGGGTCAGCTCCGCGAGCGTTGTTCTCGGGCCGTCAGTAGCGTCCCGACTGCAGGTCCGCTTCTCAGGTGACCCTGGGTACGCTGCACAGCCGCCGCTGCAGAGCCGCCCGTCTGGCGCTGCTAAGCCCGTGAACCTGTAGGGACGCAGCCTATCTGATTGCAACGTGTGGCGGGCGGTGGAGCCGACCCCGGTGAAAGCGGCCTCATTCCGACCGTATTTGCATGATAACAAATGGCAACAGCAGCCTCGCGCGGTGTGTTCACTGACTGCAGACGCTTGCTTGGGAGGGGTAAAAATGCATCAGCCCCCAGCATATCGGTGTATTTATGGGCAGGCGCAACGACAAGATTCATAATGAACGGGTATGGGGTTGTCTAGTTCATTGTCCTGTTCGGCATTCACATGCTCGTTTAAGTGGAAACATACATACAAATATACATAAATATATAGATATATACATATTCATATACACACACACACACACACACACACACACACACACACACACACACACACACACACACACACACACACACACACACACACACACACACACACATACATATATATATATATATATATATATATATATATATATATATATATATATGACGTCCGCATGCATGCCCCGTCTATTAACGTTTATCATGTCGCCGCACGAGAAAGGCGAGGGCTGCAACCACGATTTGGAAACCGCACGAAGCCATTGCAAGTTCAGACTGCTGCACAGTTTGCTGCGCGTGCGACCTTCCAGACGTCCACGAGAGACACGAAACGGGATCACGGGCACCTTCTTGGCCGCATATAATCTTTCTTTGCGATATTTCTTGGCGTGAGTTGCATACCCTAGGAATTTCGAGCGCTCTGAGAGTTTCAGCAAACGTGGACTTTGTTTTCTTAAATCAGAAATGTTATTCAACACAACGCATACATCTTCCCTGCGAACCAACAAAAAAAAAAAATACTCGTATGCCTTTCGCGGGGGCGGATTCAGGAATTCCAATCGGAGGGGAGGGGAGGGGGAGGGCACCCTCTCCAAGGAACGCCAATTTTAATAGACCGGCGACAGCCCACGCTAAAAGAACTCCGATTTTGGTTGCTCGATTTTATGAAATCGCTGAAGAGACCACAGGATACACACAATTGGCTTATTAATCTGCACCGAAGACATAACCTTATCACATAACCCAAGCTCTGCACGGCGTGAGCAACGTGTGGTGTTAGCTCTCGTGGCCTGTCCTTTAGACTGTCATGCCACTGCAACACCCAACACCTTTATTGGACTTACTTTGGTGCCTTGGATCGATAGATCAAAGGTACAGTATCTGAAACAGCCATTCCTCTCTTAATCATTCAGCTTGCACACAAAATCCCTGGATTAAAACATAACACTAGTCCTGTTTTGCCTCGGATCAGTTGCCAGCACTAACTTCAAGAAATGCACGCTTGGATAATTAACTAGAGCAAATGACATTGCTGCATCCGATAGCTTACGCCGCTTTCAGACCAATCCACTGACAGTGCATCCCTTTGTAGAAGCTAGTAGGCTGATTTGCTTTATTTTGGCGTTTGAATGCACAAATACACCATACGTATGTTGCAATCGTCGGGAACAAATCTTTGCGGTGAGCTTGTTGAAGACCAGTATCCCGTTTTCGAGGCCGCGAGCAGAACTCCTGGAGAACGGCGGTCGCGTCGTTACCGAACGTTTGCCGGTAGGTTTGCGGAAGGCAGGAGACCTCCAGACACTCTGCGGTCATCGTGGACCTGATCGACGATGACCACGAGGTCGACGCGGCTGAACAGGCGCCCCAGGTCAGCCGATGACGTCGGCAGTGCGGCGAGCACCCGAATGGGCTTGTGACTGCTAAGAAGCAAGAATCCAGATTGGAGAAGCTGTCTCCCACAATTCGTCTGATATAATTTGTGATGCAGGTAACCGCACAATCAAATGTCTCATTTTGAGTAGTTAGCTGATCCGACTATTACTGAGAGACTATTTCAAGGTCACCCAGGCATCCATGACGTCATAATAGCGTCATTCAAATCTTGTGATTCCTTTGGCATGCAACGATCAAGGCCAAGCAAAATATGATTGTCGAGTCGTTCATATCTCACGTTCGTGACCACGCTTTCCACCTCTGATAGCTGAGCACGCCAAGAGCGTGCTGGAGGATCAGCCGGCGCGCGACCTGGTGTAGACGCTCCTACAGGACCAACGAGAGCTGCCGTCCCCTCCCCGCACAACAGAGGATAACCTGCCCTGCCTGCTCAAAGACCTGCTGAGGGCCGGCATGGCGGCGATCAGACCCCCATGGAGTGGGTTATCCTCCTGATATTGGTGCTGCATTCGGACGCATAGACACGCACCAACGCCGAGCTGGACGAGGCGGTTGGCCGTGACCGGCCGCTGGCCGTTGACGGTATACCAGCCATGCCTTCCTACCCAGTACCTGGAGGCCGTGCTCGAGGAGACGATGCGCTGGATGCCCCGTCGGGGAGCAGCTGCTCGGCACCGGGTTGGGCCTGCGCCGCTGCATCGGCGAGTCGCACGCGCGCCAGGCGCTGTTCCTGTTCACGGCCAGACTGCTGCAGAAGCTGCGACTGCAGCCGAGTCCCAGCCTGGTGCTCAAGCCGCAGCCATACCGCGTCACCGTCCAGACCAGGGACTGAGCCGCACCGACGGGGGTGGCGGCGGCGGGGAGCATCTCGCGGTCGGAGGGAGCGATACTTCGTGTAACCACGAGGGGGCACATGGCCTGAACAGTTCTCAGCTGAGTAAATGTGCTCTTCAATGCGTTATGGTTTGACTGCATTCTCGTACTTCGCACAACGTTGATTGAGAGCCATTCGACGCCCGTTATATCTGGAAATCTGGCTCACAAACGCCAGATATGAACCTTTCGACAACTGTTTTTTTTTGCCTTTATCACCACATCACTTATGGAATGGCAGGATTTGAATGATGTTATCATGAAGTCATGAATGCTAAATAAGTTTACTTTGAATGAAAACCTTTAAACGTCAGGGCCTCTCGACGGACGCTAGTTCATGCACTTGTGGTTCTGCAGTTCTGCTGGTATTTCACGGAAGTCGGCCGGTAAGTTTTTAAGTGAAATGTAGTTTCTCGTCATTTGAGCCCGAATTTGACATCGCACGGTGAACTTGATTCTAAGATTCTTAAAATCTAAAATCGACTGGCATTTTTTTTAAAGATGGTGTTTCCGTCCTGTGACCGTGAATTGTTTTAGGTTAAAATGTGACCCTGAATTTTCAGAACACTTACGTGGACGGCTCTTGCACTGTTAAATGTTCTGATGGTCGAAAAGTGGAAATCGACCAGTCGTTTTTCAAAATATGAAGCTCTCGTCCTTTGAATGTAAATTTGACCGCCAAAGGTGACCTTGAGCTTTCAGGACTTTTTGACAAACGCTTAGTTCTTACACTGGCGAGTATTCCGACGTTTGATCACCGTCCTTTGAGACATGAGACTTGAAGGTTGACCTTGACTTTTCAGAAGTTTTCCACGGTCGCTAGTTCCTAGTGTTATGCAAATTCTGAGCATGAAAACGTGAAATCAGCCGGTAATTTTGTGCAGGGAAACCTGCATTTGGTGCGCAGCAGAAGCGGCGAAGTGGGCGCAAGGGCGAGGAACATCGCGAAACATTGGCGAGAGCAGTGTCGTGTAGGCAGGGCGGCGCGGGGGCGCGGAGCTTGGAGGGCAGGGTTCGGAGCTGTGCAAGCGGTTGGAGGACAGGAGTCCCGTGCTGTGTGGCTCAAAGACATAGCTTTTTGAGATCCGCTAGCTGGATCTTGCAAGCTATTTCGGTGCATACGCTCAAGATGGCGGAACCTGGAAATTTTGACTTGAGAATCATTCCGGAGCTCAGTGCCCAGGAATCCGTTGTGGAGTGGGTCGATAAAGTGGACCTAGTGTGCAGACTGAAAGGAGTTAGCGACCTGCAAAACGTGACTCCCCTCCGGCTTACTGGTGGGGCATTCGGCGTGTACCAGCAACTTTCCGATGAGTATAAGCCGAAGCCGAGTGAGGTAAAGGACGCCCTGATCACGGCTTTCGCTGTCGGTGTAAAACATGTCACGAAAAATTCATCGTTAGGTGTCTTGGAGAGGGTGAAGTCGTCGATGTCTTCCTTGCAGACTTGCGCAGGCTGACCAATCTGTTTGGCAGTCTGTCTGAGACCGGGTTGACCTGCGCCTTCGTGGCTGGCTTGCCAGAGACCGTGCGGCACGCGCTGAGGGCCAGCACGCACGTGGAAGCCCTGAACCTGACTGAGGTGCTGGGCCGGGCATGCGCCCTGGTCGCGGAGGAGTCGGCAGCGGCGGCGTCGGCCGCTGCGGCTACGGCGGGCGCAGCAGCTGCACCGAGCGATGGGGTCGGCTTCTCACACCGAGGAGCGCGCGGCGGCGACCGCCCCCAGCAGCCAGCATCCTGCTTCCGCTGCGGCAAGCGCGGCCATCTGACTCGCTGGTGCCAGCGTGACATCGTCTGCTTCAGGTGCAGACAAGAAGGTCACGTGGCGGCCCGCTGCCCGGAAAACGAAGGAGGGGAGGCGTGAGTGCCAGGCTTCTCTCCCTGGTCGGCGTTGGTGCTTTCCCAACCCGGCAGCTGCGCGTCATCGG